GGATCCTAGATTTTTTATTTTCAGTTACGAAAATTATTAACTCCTTGCCGTACTTTGACTCGTGACGCACTTACGGCTCAAATATAACAAAACTTACTCAAATTTTTAATACTCTTCAACTTCAAATTTAAATCCAACTATAATTTACTATAAAAATATCAAAAATTCACAACATTTTAATTTTCAGTGTTTGTTTAAACATTATAGCTATGAATAGTTAGTTTTGACTGATGCATCTGACAAATAAATTGTATGGGAAGGGGTTAAGTTTCTGTCAAAATGTTAAAGCTGGCTTGTTGTATAAGCTAGTGTACACATTATTCATTATTTAATTATTTTTAGAGTTCACTTTCCATTTTAATAAGTAATCAGTCAACGTCCGTAAAGCTAGGGTTAAAAATATTATCATTGTGTAAACACTTTTTGTATGAACATGATCCTGTATCTTTTATTTTGAACACCGTATGATGTAACGTATGAGCATGAATGTATGTATATCGATTGGGTATCGATGCGGTTGTTTTAGAACGAGCACCAATAAATTGGTTACGAGAAGTTTTGTTATAAATAAGTATTCATTCGTTATTGTGATTTCGCCAATTACCCATTTATTTTTAAAATTATTAAATCCTGGCATTATTTTAACAGTTATGTCCTTTTATTTTTCGTTTGTCTCTTACAATTATCTAACACGACATCAAAATACTATAAAACCTCATCTCGATCCACGTAACAAAATATTATAAAACCCCATTTGGACCACTCATTCATATACACGAATGTACAGATCAAACCATGACAGATACGCCTTTTTGACAAACATTCTTAACCTAACCTAATCCCTTAACCTATAATCTTGCGGACAGTTGCGTCATTCACAGTTAATTAATTATTGTCACAACGTTAAAACATCTGAACAATGAATATTAGGAACATAATGTATTCAGCGATCCTTGATTATGCAGACAATAATTAGAATTGAATTTAAAATTCAATTGCAGTGAAAATATGAGTATGGTTTATCACATTCGAATGGTAGGTGTGTCACGACTGTGACAGTCATAGACACGTTTGTGACATGATATTGTAGAGCAAAGGGTTAAAATGGGCCAAAACCCCCAGGAAAAATGTAAAAATTACCGAAAGACACGGAGTGTCTAGGAAACGAAGAGAACCCTAACGAGCAAAATAAAATTAATTATTAAAGTAGTTTACAAAATCAGTCAAATTAATTATTATTACTGGTTATAATTCTACACATTTAAATAGCTAAAAATGCATCAAAGAAATTTGCCACAAAGTGGACGAACTCTTCCCTCAAGATCAATTATTTTATTACTGTTACGTGCATTCACCGTATAATATCCAGAGATAAAAGTATGGAATAACCAACCAAAGCCTTAGCTTCATAGAAACACATAGAAGATACCCTAAAGTACCTGAAAGACATTAATATGTACCACAGAATATAGTCAAACAAATATAGCCTTTCTCAAAAGGAAACAGGACCCAGTCGTCGCTAATAACCTGAAGGTCTGTGCGACGTAAAACCTGAACTAGAAAAAAGAAATGGATGAAAATTTTTAAAAGAAGCATGAGTTCCAACTTAATCGTTCGTGTGGAAAATAATGTTAACCTTTTATCACTGATAATATTGGTATCAAAAATATTGCTGATATCAATACTCTGTTGACGGTACCTGTCGGTTGCATCATATATTGTAATTTCAATAGTCATCGTATTTTTATTTTGCAAAACTAACACTCGTTATTTTGTTCGATATGTATTTGTACAATCAAATATTCATTTATTGTTGCTAAATGTTCGTGGGAATATGCACAGCTTTGACAACGATTGCATGAGAGTCTGGCATGCAAGCTATTGTAAAGCACAATTATGTGTACTTTTATTTAAAAAAAATTTCAGAGGAAGTAATTTTTTACGCGTATAAAAACCGTCTTCTGAGAATGTGCTGGTGTAGAGAACGAAGTGGGCAGCCGTGTGAAATGTTTAAAAGTATGAATGAAACTGTTCGTGAATGAATGAGAAATTTACGATTTACGAAAGAGCGATTGGTTGATTGAAAAGAGACGAACGCATGGCTGTGTAGTTGGCGAAGAGAAAAATAGAAAGTGTCGTAAACAAGATCCAAGAAATGAAATCTTTTTAAATTTCTTCACAAATTTATATGTGACAACTAATTTCCGTTTGCAATAATCAACTGTGGATACGTGATAAATAATTTTTATTCAAAATAACCAACAAGTTTATTGCAAAATAATAAACTAATGTTGAGACATAACATTTGTAGAGTATTACATAATGCTTTACGCGAGTGTAGTAGAAATAGTATAGCAGAACAGTGGAATTGTAGTATAGTGGTATAGTGAAGTAGTAGAACAATACACTAGTTGATGATGAAATAGTGTAATTGCAAAATAAAATTGATAAAATAATACGATGGGTAAATGATAATATAGTACATCATTAGAATAGTAGCCAGTGAATGAGTTTAATCGTATACCAGTCAAGTAACAAAATAGTTAACTAATAGAGTGATTAAATAAAAAAAACAATATAGTACAATTATAATAATTATAGGATCACACAATAAAACATTAGCATAGTGGAACATTTAACAAGTATATTTAATAGTGATGTAGTAAAATAGTAGAATGAAAAATAGCAATATACTCTAATTACTGCTTTAATGGGATGGAAGTATAATAGTATAATAAAGCACCAAATCGTGGTACATTGACACGTTTGTAAGTACAATAGTGAAACAGCAAGATGATACAATAACAGAATAGCAATATAGGAACATAGCAATATAGCATAATTAGTGGAGCAGTAGGGTGACATAATAGTATAGTAGTTGTACAGTAGTATAGTAATAGCATAGAAATATAGTAGTAGTATAGTATTGTTAATATTACATTAGTTGTATAGTATCAGTGTAGCAATAATATAGTGACAGTATAGCAATAATGACAACATAGTAGCAGTATAGTAGTAGTATAGCAACAGTATAGTAAGAGTATAATGACAGTATAGTATCAGTGTAGTAATGGTGCGGTATTAGTGCAGTAATAGTACAGTAATAGTATAGTAATAGTAGTACTATAGCAGCAGTGTAGTAGCAATATAGAAGTAGTATAGTAACAATATAGTAACAGTATAGTAACACTATAATAACAATATAGTGACAATACAGTGACAGTACAGCGACAGTACAGTAACAGTATAGTGACAATATAGTATGAGTAATGGTACGGTAGTAACGCAGTAATAGTACAGTAATAGTGTAGTAAGGGTATAACACTAATACAGTAGTTGTATAGGAACAGTATAGTAATAGTTCAGCAATATTATATTAGTGCAAAGATCAAATCGTACAGTGGTAAAATGCTAAATTAACAAAATAATGGATTTAATACAATAGAAAAATAGCAACATATTACAATAGGTATAGTACAACAGGCATATTACAATAGCAATACCATAGTGAAATAGTACAATACTAAAATAGTAATAGTAGTAATATAATAAGATTACATGACTGAAAATACTCCAAATAATTATTTAACAAGATTCTTATATAACACATTCCCCCTTATATTTCCCCCCTTTAAAATATTTCACACGTTTCGTGTGATCTGAAGTTCTATATTATTTTTGTTAGATAAATTACATGATTCATATACAACTTCGCAGACTTCGATATATCATTAGTGCATAAATATCCGTAGTCTATAAATAACATATTATTCTAGACCGTTTCGATTATACTGTGTCACATTGCTTCGAGATATTGTCCCGTAGCTTGTCCCTGGCGTATCTGCACGTTACAATCCGCACATATCGCAGCGAACAAGAAGCTGGTTTGTGGTAAAATCGCACGTCTGCGTTCACATCTGTTACATGTGCCGCGCGTTTTCTTCTTTTATTTTAAAGCTGAACATTCGAGTGTGGTTTAAGACGCTCGTGAAGCGACAGCCTAATCTTTTCACCGTTTTTGAGGTCATCTTGTTCTGAATCGGTCTAGGATTTTCTGAATATTAAGTGAAGATCAATGGAAGGGAGAATCATTCACGCAAATGCCACATTAATTATTCTTTACTGCCACGATCATCACAATTTTACTTTCATAATTACCTTTGAATATAACAAGGACGAAGACATTTCGGGATTAATCAATTTTTGGAATTGGGAAATTTTGGAAATGTGTTTTGGGGATTTGGAAACTTTGGGATCTGAAAATTTTGAAGGTATAGAAATTTAAGGATTTAGAAATTTGGGGATATGGGGATTTGGGGAGTTAGGATTTTGGGGATTTGGGGATTTGGTGATTTTGAGATTTGGGGATTTGGGGATTTGGAAACTTTGGGATCTAAAAATTTTTAAGATATAGAAATTTACGGATTTGGAAATTTGGGCATTTGGGGATATAGGAATGTGGAATTTAGGGATTTGGTGATTTTGAGATTTGGGGATTTGGGGATTCGGGGATTTGGTGATTTGGTGATTTGAGGATTTGGGGATTTGGAAATTGTGACTTATAAGAATTTGAGTATTTACGAATATAGAATTGGAGAGTTTGAGATATAGGAACTTAGAAATCTGACAAATTGGGTGTCTGGAATAAAAAAATTTCGAATTTAAGAATTTGACAATTTTTAAATTTGCTGATTACTAAGATTTTGAGAATTACAGAATTTTACAATTTTACAATTTTACAATGCACACATTACATGCACACAGAGTCCTCGACACTCCACTCAAGTAGCAAAACTTAAAATACAAAAATTTACTAATTTGAAAATTTAAAAATCTATAATTCGGTAGCTAATATTTAGAAAATAGAAATATCCTTCGTATCCCTAGATCTGTAACACCACAAACGGCTTAGTCTCAGGTGTAGTGCACACATCCCACAGAATTCGCGCCGGCCCTGCACTCGGCACTCCACTCGAGCAGTAAAACTGGTAGCGTGGGTTAGACAGCGTGCAGAAGCGGGTACCACGTCAGTCCACGGCGAGTCCTCCGTGCGGGAGCTGCGCTCTCTTGGTGTCATTACGCCGGGGTTATCCGTACATTTATTCCGTAGTTAATCAATCTCCAGATGCACAGAAGAGAAGCGAGAGCTTACCAATTAATTGTTCGACAGTCAGTGAATTCAATTTTACCAGAGACAGACGAGAATAGTTGAACGCAGATATATTCGGTCGACAGATTCGGTTCAGGTAGGTCCTTCGGTTTCTCTTGTTTTGTGACACCGGTCAAGAACGTTTGTGACAGGAAGTTGTATCAAACTCCTTTTTGTGTTTCAATCTTTTTCTGCATTAGCTATTGTTTTCGTCATTGTGTACTTGTAACTCGTGGATTTTTTTTATGGAGTAAGTACTATTTATTATATTGTTTGTGCGGAAAGATGTGATATCACTACAGAGTTTATTATTATATTATACATTTTCCCCATTTATACCCATCTTCAAATGGGTTCTGTGAAAAGTATTGTATTTTTTTTATTATTTCTGAATTAAAAACTGTTTTTCAATTCTTCTTTATTTTTATTAATTTTATTTGGACGAAGGGTGGATATCGATACGTGGTTTATTGTTATATTATACATTTCTTAAAATGGGTTGTTCTGTGAAAGGTATTGTACTTTTTCCTTATTTCTGAATTAAAATCTGTTCTTCAATTCTTCATTGTTTTTATCAATTTTTTTGGACGAAGGGTGGATATCGGTACGTGGTTTATTGTTATGTTATACATTTTTTAAAATGAGTGGTCCTAGAAAAGATACTATAATTTTTTAATTATTTCTAAATTAAAAATTGTTTTTCATTTTTCTATTTTTATTCATTTTGTTTATATGGAGAATGATATTAGTTCAGTGTTTATTATTGTATTATAAGTTTCTTAAAATGGGTGGTCCTGTCAAGGATATTATAATTTCATAATTATTTTACAAATTTTTTATTTTTATTAGTTTTCAATTTTCGAGTGTTATGTTATCTTAAGAATCTGCCACTTACTTTGAAACTGAAAATACCAAAACAGTCAAACGACCGGTTCACAAGTCTCTTATTGTAAGTTACAATTTATTAAGATGATTTTCCTGAAATTTGAGTTTCATCATAATAAACAATTAGTGTGCTAATTCATGTTTTATCGTTTTATTACTGGGTTTTCAATTTCATAATTAATTTCAAATTAAATATAAATTAACGCTGGTTTTAGTGTTAATGATAACACTCGCTTTTTTAAATTTGTGGATGTATAATCGAAGTCGGTGAATATCATAAAGTAAATATAATACTGAAACTGCATCTATAAAATTATCAACTGACCTGAACATGATTCTGCATTAAAAGAACGATTAAAATTTTAAAGGCTGCATTATTTCAGATTTAACTGTTTCTCCGGGTCATTTCTGCCCGGTAGTCATTTATTCAAATCAGTTTACACATACAGTGAAACTGCGCGTAAAACGTGCTATAAAACGGAAGGGAACTTTAAGATGTCATCGTAAGCGCTGTTAAAAATACCTTATCGATCGAAAATACTTTCTAAAATGGTCAAGATATTTCTATGCTCCAATAATTACTTCCTGGATAAGACACATTCTTGGAATAGGAAAATTAATATCGTCACTGGGGGAAAAACAAATCAGTATAAAACGTAGGCAACCGTCATTCTATCGATTGCAATATCGAATACGGGATATAGGAAATTGAGGACGTCATCGGAATAAATTGGCACGATTGATGACGAGATGTTCAAATAGACTTTTCGCGAAATCCAACAGTCAGTTAGAATGTTACCGGTTGTTGTCATCTTCGATTTCTTGCGAGTCATCGGAGGCTCGTCGATTATTAATCAACCGATCACTCCACGAAGCAATTAAGCAACGTTGTAGCATAAAACGCATAAGGATATTCTAATGTAAGAGGGTGTGGATCGATGCAAATAGAATTCACGAACATGATTGGACGCAGCCGTATACCGATTACGAACCGCTAATCATATGTTCTCATTAACCGCAGCTCCGTTATTTTATGCGAAAATAAAAAATTACGTGATTGCGAATCCGTTTGAGAACTAGAGCCGCGCCTCTCGATCACGTGTCGAAAACTTGACGTGTTTTTCAAAGATTCACTTATTTAACAAGTTGTTAGATTTTACTGTGAGATATCTGCCGATTTCTTTCATTTGCAAACACGAAGCATTTCCGATCTGATAGAAAAACAAGAAAGGAAACGATTGCACCGGAAAAGATAAGCGCGAAATGTGAAATAGAATTTTTTTATATCTGGCTTTGGTTTTTAGAAAATTTTATTTCGACATTTTTTAATAATTGCGATGTTTTGGTTTGGAAAATACAATTTTTAATGATTTTATCGTTAATGTGAGAAATATATATAAACTAGGAAAGGTACTATCAGTAAATTGTATTACTAATTATTATACAGGGTGTTACCTGTAACGCTACTCACGATTTTTCTCCCACTTGCAGCCACCTTACGAAAATCTCCCACTTGCAGCCATCTTACGAAAAAAAGTTTAGAATAAAATTTGCAGGGTATGAAGTGCACAATAGATATTAGTAAAGCAAATTTTGAAAACAGTTTGTTCTCTTGGCAAAGTCAAGGTTACCTTGGGTTTCTTAAATAGGAACATACATTTTTTTTTATTCATGGCTTTAGAGGATATCGAGACGAATTCGAAACATATATTACATTATATTTTTATTAAAATATTACTCGATTTACAGAAGTGGAAAAATGC